CTCTTGGTCTGCCTGTCAGCACTCTGGTGTATATGGTGGCTTTATCTCCAGCGGTTTTTTTTTTCCGCTGATAGCAGCTGCCTTATCTAACTGGAACCATAAAATAGAAGCAATGGAGTGAAAGATGCTAACACACACACACACACACACACACATGGATGCAGCATGTAGCTAAAGGAAACGTCAGGTTTTTCTTTTTAACTTGAATAAAAAAAATATGAGAGAAAAAATTGAGGGATTTTTTTTTCCTGCACAAAGAAAAGAAGAAAGAAGAAGATCTGGACCTGATACGTGTCTCCTGTTTGTTTGACCTCTTCATTTCCCATGGTGCATTGGTGCTTTGCTCACCTGTCCACCTCCTGGGGGACATCCAGTGTCAGTACTGGGTTTGTGTGATTGGACCTTCACCTCTGTCTCGGTGTCTCTGCTCAGACTGACAGGTAAACTGCAGAGACGTCTCTGTAGTTCACCTGTCAGTCTGAGATGTTGGTTGTTAACAAGTTAATTCACCTCAAACCTGAAGAAACCACCTGACCTCTAGGGGTCAGTAAGGACTCGAAATGACCAAAACAAACATTTGATTTTTGTAGCATCAAAAGGTACTTTTGTAAACACAGTCAGTGACACTGACGTCTTCCTGTGTACATAAAGGTCACTTCCGGGTCACGCTGGAGTAACGGCCTAATGTTTGGTTTTTCCGGAGGTTTCTGAGGGACGTCCAGGACACAGTTTGTCATGTTGGGGTCAGAAGACCTCGGCAGGTTAGACAGGAAGTTCACACCATGTTCTACTGCACCGTCACTGCAGCGGCTTCCACCTTTAATTTCCTTTCTGATAAGACGAGACTCCTGTTTGTCAGTTCTTGTCTCTCTCTCTCTCTTCACCTGTTTCTCTCCACCTCGTTAACCCCTTCCTGCGCTCATCACACTCCGTTTCTCCGCCGCCGCCTACTCTTGTGTTTGCTCTAACACATTTCTTTGTCTCCGTTTCTCTGGCGGTTTTGAATTGTTTCATTACCTCGTCCTCTGCTCTGGTGAAAGACTCTTCTTCAGACCGGCTGATTCTCACATGCTCTGCCTGCGATACAACCGTTATTTCCACCGGCCTTTGGTCAGCGTTTACTTTTTTATTTTAAATTTTAAATGATTCCTTCATGACGTGTCTTTCCTCTCTTACCTGTTGGTTCACTCAGCTCACTGGAGGCTGCTCTCAGCGCTCTGCAGAGATGACAGTACTGGGACAGAGCGGCAGCAGTACTCTGTGGTACTGCAGTACAGGCCTGAGGGTTTTCTTACATTTTCTTTTTTTATTGAACACTTTTGGAGCCGTGATGATTCCATTTTCTGTTTCTTTTTTTTTTTTTTTTTTACACACGCCCTGTTTTGTTTCACATCCTTTTAGGGTTCTTGGTAAACAAACTCAAAATTTAACAAAATAATTTCCAGTTCCCTTTCTCAAACACACACACACTCAACACACACTTTTTAAGCCTCAGGGCTTTTTTTTTTTTTTTTTTTTAATCCCTGACTATCCAATAAACCACTTGTATTCAGTTCTACACTGGAGCAAAAATCTAACTATATTACGGTTGGCCATCTGAAGTGTCATTTCATGATTAACTGACAGTGTGTAAAGCAATTAGGGTTGTGTAAGCAAAGCTAGGCGTCAATTTGCGTTCGTGAGGATGAATCTTTAAGCAGGTCGCGGAGAAGAGCTCGGCATTAGCATTAGTTTGGAGGAGATTATGTCTGCGAGTTAGCATTAGCATAAAGCAAAATTAAACATTGTTCCCGTCGGCTGACAGCTGTGTGCATGAACCCTATAGATCCATGAAATTTAATAAAAATTAAACCCACGACACCTTAATGGTCTTGGTTACTTCCGTCGTTCACGCCTTCTTCTCTAGGCAATCAGGAAAAATCCCCCGGCAGCGGCTAATGAAATCACGTTAACGCCGGTCACCCTGGGAGTCTGCCGGCCAACAGGAAACAATGCCGGGTATTCTACAGAGCAGCTGGCTCTGAGAGTGTGCTCTTTAGCCTGGTGGCTGTGAGGGAAAATGACATCCTTTGGAGAAAACAACCAAATCCCAAAGCCCATTAAATTATTGATCACCTGCAAATGCCACACAAAGCCTCTAGTGTGCGTTTGACCACACGGGACGGACGTAAAAAGGCCAGGCGCGGCTGCCTGGCATTAGCACCAAGAAAAATGTTTGTTTTCCAGCTCAGTCAGTCTTAGTTTAATTGAATTAGACACGCAGTTCTGTGTAGGATTGATTCTGCCGAACAGGTGATCAAAACACTCTCACACTGCAGCTGCGACGCTCGCTTCACATTAGCAGAGCAATAAAACAAATAGTAACGCGACGCAGATGGATGAAGAAAAGTGTTTGTCATCGTCTGTTTAATAAATCTTTAACAGTCGAAGGTCGATTTAAGGCCCAGCGTTAGCGGTTTTTTAACTAGTATTGGCCAGGTCAGAAAAACTGGAGAATACTGATGTTAGTATTGATGCCTGTAAGATTGTGCTGCGTCTCCGCGTTGGAGTGTGTGCGGTTAATTATCGAGAAATGGATGTTGGCTCGCAGGAGTGTGTGAGGAGACGCTCCGAGGAGATCTGTGTTCCAGGGTCTCTGGATCTCTGTATTGATCCATTATTAATACAATTACTGTAGGGATGAGCACTCCGGACTACGTGTGTGCAGCAGTTTCTCAACCCGTGGTGCTGGTTAAGGATGTTTTCGTCACATTGTCTGTCGCTCTAATGCTGTGATTTTTTTGCTTACATCCTAAAAATGTAAAATACCAGTTATTGAATCAACATCCTAAAAATGTAAAATACCAGTTACAAAGTGTTGAATTTAAATACAGTTATGACTTTAATAGTCTGTATTGAAGAGGTGGGCGGAGCCTACAGTGTCGTGTTCCCATTTAAAGGTGAAGCCACAAAAAAATGTATGTCCAGAACAGGGCTGTTAAACAGGGATCAAGATCTGACCAGTCCTTCGGTTTTTGACCAACCATGTTACCGACATCAGGAAATAATAGTCAGTTTGATAAACCAGAGATAAAACTTCTGAGTACGACTTTTGGAGTAGTTTTTCCCACTGTTTTTAATTTGAAAAAAAAAAAAACGAATCAAAAACAAATCTCAATTTTGGGGCCTTTTGGCACAACATCCTTTTCCTGTGTTGCTTCAGTGACACGTCTTTAGTCTGTTGTAAACCAACCTCTGACTCAAAGCACTGCTATACACTCATACATGTTTTAAGAAATACACAGAGTGGAAGAATTGACCCGGGCTAGTTTTTTTTTTTTTTTCCACTTAAATAACAATTAACTATAAATGAACACAGTTCTTATTTTTATTCCACAACACTCTGATCCATGTGCAACAGCCGACACAGACAACGCCTCATATTCAGTTAAGAGACAGGAAATTGCACCGGTGAAGGGAACGGTGCAGGAAGTCACTGTTTTGTAATGTACCAGCGTTAGGATTCCACACACACACAAACATGTTTACAGTCTTTATGTCATCTTTCCAGTCTGTGCTCATCTTTAAAGCCATGATGTTTGCAGCAGAAGCGTTGTAATTAAAAACATGTGGAAGGCACATACATCACATTCACACATGTCGACCGCATGGCGTATTTAGGCTCAAATATGAAAAAAAAATTATAATAATATGCAAATTACAAAATGCATACCATGTTTGGCTCCAACAGTGTCCCTACGGGAGCAATTGTGTTTCATTTGAATCAATTTTGAGCAAATGATATACTCTTCCACATTCAGCTCAGTCTGCCTCAGTTTTCATGGCGGCCTGAGTTAGAGTACACACTGTGGACTTGTAAAGGAATTCATTGACATTTAGGGTTGGACTGCAGCAGTGTTTCCCAACCATTTTTGAGCCACGGCACTTATACATCATCAGGAAATAAAACCCTTTCCTTTTCATCTCTGCTTTTTCTGAAGGTTGAAGGTTCCCGTTAATCGTCACCTGGAGGTTCTGACCAGGACGTCACCATGGGTTGCAGGGATCGCTCCTCCCTCTTCTCCCCTGTCCTGAGGCTAACGGTCATCGCAGCGATTCTTCTCATCAAGGTCCAACCCTCAGTGGCCGGTGCCCCCCCTGATGCTAACCTGGGTAGCTCTGTTTCAGCAGTGTCCACCAACAAAACAGAGTGCAGCAAGCCAGAGGAGTGTGCAAGGGGTGTGATCCTCCCCATCTGGGAGCCCCCGAACCCGTCGTTTGGTGACAAAGTCGCCCGGGCCACGGTCTACTTTGTGGCTCTGGTCTACATGTTCTTGGGTGTGTCTATTATCGCTGACCGCTTCATGGCATCTATAGAGGTGATCACATCACAGGAAAAGGAAATCACCATCAAGAAGCCCAACGGAGAGACCACCACCACCACGGTCAGGATCTGGAACGAGACCGTCTCCAATCTTACGCTCATGGCCCTGGGCTCCTCTGCTCCTGAAATCCTGCTCTCTGTCATCGAGGTCATGGGTCACGGCTTCGAAGCCGGAACGCTGGGCCCTTCCACCATTGTGGGCTCTGCTGCTTTCAACATGTTTGTCATCATTGGGATTTGTGTGTACGTTGTCCCCGATGGTGAGACGAGGAAGGTCAAGCACTTGCGTGTCTTCTTCGTCACGGCCACCTGGAGTATCTTCGCCTATATTTGGCTCTACCTCATCCTGTCTGTGATCTCACCTGGTGTGGTGCAGGTGTGGGAGGGGCTTCTCACCTTCTTCTTCTTCCCCATCTGTGTGGTGTTCGCCTGGGTGGCTGACCGCCGCCTGCTCTTCTACAAGTATGTGTACAAGCGCTACCGCACTGGCAAGCAACGTGGCATGATCATTGAGACGGAGGGCGATCGCCCACTTCCTCCAAAGGTATGAGACGCTTTAACTTTCACTATCAATAACAACAGTTAATCTCTTTTCAGTATCTTACTCTTCATTAGTCCATCAGTCCTTACATAAAATATTCTGATTATTTGTATTAAAACCTGGATCTGATTTGTATTTTTTATTGAAGTAAAGATCAACACCTAACGTAATTATTGTCGCTTCAAGTAGATAAGCTGAAAATTAGTGTTAAGAAGACTTTGAAAAAGTCAGAAAACTCCATTAGCTATATCTTAACCAATGTGAAATGTACAACAAAAATACTTCTTTGAGGCTTTAGCAACGTGAAATGTACAACAAAAATACTTCTTTTATTACCATTAGGATGTTATGTACAAATTCTAAGTAAAGTAAATGAAAATTGTTATTTTTTGATGATCCTAGTGATGATGATGATTATTATTATAGGACTCCTTCATTGAGTCTTTTAGTGTTTTTAAAGAAAACAAATCATCACAAATCAGTCAAACAAATACTACTACTACTACTACTACTGTCTGCCCAAAGGATGGTGTTAAATGTTGTACTGTGAAGATGTTTTCTATTTTCCTACTTTTTTTGTTACCTTAAATGTGTCTTAAGTTCCCGAGTGAGGGAAGCGAATGGCAGGGGGCGGGACGTGTGTGTGATTGACAGGCTGAATGGCAATGGGCGGGACGTGTGTGTGATTGACAGGCGACACTTTAATTCCTATCATATCAGATGAAGAGAAGCTACTTATGGTATATCCTAGCTACCTAGCTAGCCAAACTTACCGCATATTAACAATATACTCCGTGATTTAATCAGAAACTTGCCTTAGACTGCGCAGTTAAATTAGCGCCGGAACTCCTTGTTTTGGTCCCGATGTTATTTCGGTAATGTCCCTCGGGATTTATTTGTTTAAATTAAATATGAAACGACGTAGCGCTGTGTTCTTGTGAGAACGCCATTATTCAGTTTATTGTTTTCGCGGGCATACAGTAATATCAGTGTCGTGCTGCATCAAGCTGACATTTAGTTATTATTAATTATTATATGTCGTGCAAAATACATATTTTTACATCCCCATACAGCGTTAGTCTAGAATCACGGTGCAGGGGTTGTGTGTTTGATAATTGCTGGTCTTAATTTTAATTAAATGATTAGTATCAGACAGTTTGACCTACTACTGCATTGTACACAGGAAATTATGTTTACCGTTGTGGCCTGGTGTAAACCAATCCTTCAGTCTGTCCAAGTTCTTATTATCTCCTGGTAATAATTATTCAAGGTGAATACAAAAATAATAGTAATTTCTCTCTTTTCAAATGTGGTAAAATAAAACGTTACAAACTTCATGCTCGTTTTTTATCTAAATGAACCAGAAAAAGAGGTTTAAACGTTTTTTAAAAATGTATTTTTTATGTAAAAGTCCAAAACTGTGGGACTGATGACACATTGTTTTTCTCCTTTTTTCAAGGTGGATATTGAGATGGATGGGAAGATGCTGAACTCCCATGGTGTTGACTTCCTGGATGGTCCTTTGGGTTTGGATCTGGATGAGAAAGATCTGGACGAGGAGGAGACCCGCAGAGACATGGCCAAGATCCTGAAGGAACTCAAACAGAAACATCCGGACAAAGAGGTGTGTAAAAAAACCCTGAAGGAATCACGTTTATTTTTGACTGGTCAGGCGTCCGCCGGCACCCCTGACTGAAGGACCACCCAAAAGTGAACGTGATTCCTTCAGTAATAATAATTTGGTGGAGGTTTTACTGCGGACTCCTTTCCTGACCCGACCCAGATTGAACCACACCACACCCATTTCAGTTTCCTCACCACGTATTGTTGTGTGACATCTCACCAAGCCAAAGTCAAAATGATGTGTAATACTAAAATAAGGACATAATGAAACAAGGATGTAAGCGGAAATTCAAATGTGGTTGACAGATTACGATAGCCTGACTGGTGAAATCACGACCAGAGTGAAACTGTAAGTCTAGTACAAACCAGTCTTGTGTTTTCATCATCATTACTCATACATACAGGTCGACAAAAAGAAAAAAAAATGTAATCCCAGTTGTAGACGGCCTACTTTATGGTCTCGTCAAACTGATTAATGTGGTTTCATGGCATTTATATCCGACTTTATTTCCCTCGCTCCAGGTGGAACAACTTATCGAACTTGCCAACTACCAAGTCTTGAGTCAGCAGCAGAAGAGTCGTGCCTTCTACCGCTGCCAGGCCACCAGACTGATGACCGGCGCCGGGAACATTTTGAAAAAACATGCAGCCGATCAGGCCCGGAAGGCCGTCAGCATGCACGAGGTCCGCTCAGATACCGGCGAGAACGACCCCATCTCCAAGATCTTCTTTGAGCCTGGCTCCTACCAGTGCCTTGAGAACTGCGGCACGGTGGCGGTGAATGTGATACGCCGTGGCGGTGACCTGGGCAAAACCATTTCTGTGGAGTATCGGACGGAGGACGGAACTGCCAATGCCGGCTCCGACTACGAGTTCACAGAGGGCGTAGTTGTTTTCAAGCCTGGTGAGACCATGAAGGAGGTTCGTGTTGGGATCATCGACGACGACATCTTTGAGGAGGACGAAAACTTCTTGATCCACCTTTCCAGCGTTAAGGTGTTGACCTCAGAGGGCGAGGAACCAGAGGAAGGAGAGTCAGCCAATCACGTGGACTCTGTGGCCTGCCTGGGCTTACCATCCACAGCGACCGTCACCATCTTTGATGATGACCATGCAGGTATCTTTACCTTTGAGGAGCCGGTGTGCCACGTGAGCGAGAGCGTCGGCACCATGGAGGTGAAGGTGTTGAGAACGTCCGGGGCTCGCGGCGTAGTCATGCTGCCGTACAAAACAATAGAGGGATCAGCACGCGGCAACGGAGAGGACTTCGAAGACACTCACGGAATCCTGGAATTCCAGAACGATGAGATCTTGTGAGTAGCAATTTTTAAATCTTTTTTTGATTGTGTGTCATGTGATGATTTGTATGTTTTTTGCTGGTGATTTGAGAATGTGAGTGTGTGCGTGTGTGTGGGATGTGGTGGTCATCTGGAAGGATCTGCCCATTGGAGGACCACAGCAAAATCATCAACCTCGATACCCCGGTTTTCTCTTTCAGTATTTTTCTCTTCTGTCGTCTTCAGTCTGTCTTTTCTCTTTTGCTTGGGTCTTTTCACAGCAGCGTAAAGTTTTTGCATTTTGTACGAAAAACAACCAGGTTGCATCTTCTTTGAAACTGAGCACTACTTCAAGGGCACTTAGTAATACGAAGATCTACCGGTTTGAATCTCTCAGGACCCCACGAGGGATTCCAGCATATTTGGTGAAACCAAGGCATTGCATTATTGGATTTTTATTATTGGAGATAAAACTGATAACGATTCTTACAGATATTGGATAATTATTCTAATATCATGTAATATCATCTAGTTACAAGTGTAACTGATTCAAGTCAATGTTATCGGACATCTAGTTACAAGTGTAACTGATTCAAAAAGCACAGTAATGGTACAATTTTTCACCCTGTTGTTGAAAAGGCAAGTGGAACCATATCTTTATAACTCTGTTACACCCCAGCTGACTGGAGGACTCCTTTCTCTGGGCGTGTTTTTTTTTTCTTTCTTCCCTGTGTGAAATGGTATCGAAGTTTTGCTGAAACCGTCCCCTGCTGTGAACAGACACCATCACAGTTTGGAGATCTTCTTGCCCTAACGGAAAGCTGTTATTACCCCGTGCCCTGCTTCATAATTGCTCTGTGACAACATTTCAGGAAGCTTCTTCAGAGCTTCTGCTCACAGCCAGCTGTGTTACTCAGCAGCCTGGACCAATCACGCACCAGGAATCAGCTGCGGCTCTGAGCCCAGTGTTTGCA